GGCACTGACTGGCGGATGGAACTCGGAGGAGGCCCACTCTGTGCGATCTGATGGGGCGAAGGGAGGTAATTGGCAGAAGGCGGTCTCTCAAGTAACAGTTCATATCCATGCTATCTTTTGCTTGGTGGATCTTAAGATACTTGCTGCGTAAAGGGAACATGCAACTTTTTTCTCTTACTTTTCTCTAAATACACAGGTATTCTGTATAAACCAGCCACAAGGAATATCAACATCAAAGGCAAAATCAAGAGCTTTGATCTTTGTAGTGAATGTTGCTTTCTTTCTCCTTCAGAGAGGAACAAGAGAAACTGAATGTGTGGGTCGCTTTGCTGAACCTGGAGAACATGTATGGCACAGAGGAAGGACTGATGAAAGTTTTTGAAAGAGCAGTTCAGTACAATGAGCCTCTGAAGGTCTTTCAGCAATTGGCAGACATCTACAGCGCGTCTGAGAAATATAAGGTGATGCCAATTATAGCAGCATGATAAAGAGAACGATCACTTTTATTCATCTGTGTATGACAGGAAGGATATCTGTTTTATTTCAAGAAAGAATGCACCTAGTCTGCTCTGCCTTGTCCTAGACTTCCCTTAACATTTTGGACTTGTGGATGCTGCCTCTGTTTGGAGCAGCAGAAATCTTCTCTCTGTGTGGCTCTTTTCAATGTCAGATTATTGCTCTCGTCCAGATTATTAAATGCAAAATGATGCACTCTTAAGACCTATGAAATCTATATTCTAAAATTGCAGAATTGGCAGTTGACAATGAAGAAGCAGGACATGTAGTTGTATATTTAGCCTGTGTTGAGTGAAGCACCTTGTTGAATAAGGTACACAGGCTTAATGTATATTTTTATTTTTCTACATATGAGAGAAAATTTAGCCTTCAACTCTTTGGAACTGAATTTAGAATTTCTGGTCCAATTGTAGAATGGCAGTTAGCATTCTGAGCCTATGTTGAATAGGCTCAGGTAACATTATTATAGCATAGAACTTTTAAGGATGAAATAAAATAGAAGGCAGCTATTTTCAAGCCATGCCTATTTAGCTTCATCCCCACATAAATATCTAAATCTCCTAGCACAAAAGTAGCTACTACCCATTTCTATAATTATGGTAAGATAGGATTGGAAAACTAGGGGTATTTGTGAGAACAAAAGCTAGATTATCCTTTGTAATTTAGAAGCAATGAAAATAAAAAGATTTTGCATATTTAGGATGATTCTTTATCCTTTCTTTTGATGTATTCAGGAAGCTGAGGACCTATATAGTACAATGCTGAAACGCTTCCGTCAAGAAAAGTCTGTGTGGGTAAAGTACACCACTTTTCTTCTGAAGCGTGGTTTGGTGGAGGCAGCTCACAGACTTATGCCACGGGCACTGAAATGCTTGCCAGACAAAGAGCGTAAGAGTTATTTGTTTTCCTTCTTTCTTGAATAGTGCTGTCTATATCTTCCTCATTGGACTTCCATTTAGATTGGAGTAGATTAATATCTGTATTATCTATATTCTATAATCATTCTTATCTTTGTCTCTTTCAGTCATTTTCTTCCATTTCCATTTCTTCACCTTCATTTCTTAATAAATATATCCTTTTTTCTTTCACGCCAATAGACAGAAACAAATTCAGCATCCCAAGGAACAGGACATATTTCACAAAAGAGTAGACCTTTCCATCTTGTTCGCTAATCTGCTCTGAAAATTCTTGTAGTGAGGATGTAGCTAACCATATATTTCTAAATAATAGTTACACCTTCAAACTTCAGGCAGAATTAATAATGACTGCTGGAAATAATCCTTTAAATAATCCTTGCTTCTTCTTTTTTGTTGCAGACGTGGATGTGATTTCAAAGCTGGCACAGTTAGAGTTTCAGTTTGGTGATGCAGAACATGGCAAGGCCATGTTTGAAAACATGCTGAGCACATACCCTAAACGTACAGACGTCTGGTCAGTGTACATAGATGTAATGATAAAACATGGAAGCCAAAAAGAAGTCCGGTGAGTACTAACACATGTAGGAAGGTTAGGATTCTTAATTTCCAGCAAAGATGCAAATGTAAGCTTGGGAATGTGTATTAGCTTAAAACTAAAGCACGCAGAGTGACTTGATTTTGGCAAGGAAACATTATTAACAATTAACAATGAGAAGCCTAAAGAATTTGCTCTAGAAATATATCTCCTACACATAGGAGAAAGCAATCTAACAATTTTAGTCATTTTAAATAGAAATAAAATATCAGATTAAAATTGTTATTCTAAACATTATTTTGGTTTTTTCATAGGGATATTTTTGAAAGAGTGATTCACCTAAACTTAACAGCAAAGAAGATGAAGTTCTTCTTTAAACGCTACCTGGAGTATGAGAAGAAGTATGGCACCGTGGAAACCATCCAGGCTGTGAAGGCAGCAGCATTGGAGTATGTGGAATCCAAGAACAACCTTGCTGAGAGCTAACAGACTTCAGGGTCTTACTTACCCAGTATGTTGAGAAGGGAAGTGGACATGCCTCATCTGTAGTACGAAAAGCCCTCTTGCTTTTTTGCATTTCCCAACGAGCTCAATAACAGATTGGAATAGCCAGGACCACACATTAACAGTGTAAGTGATGTAAATGTTTTACACCTTTTATATCCCTCCCCCCAAACTCAAATAAAATAATTATATTTATAACCTTATTTGTCTTCAATTCTTTTTAAAATATACAATTCATAATTAGGAGAAAGCAACCAACTGCTTGGTTACAGTAGCAAGTAAATAGTTCTTCCCTCCCTAAAATATTTTGTATTCAAGTATAGGCTTAGAAGATAATACCACCGCTGCTTTCTAAGCATCCTGTAAAATATATTCAAGGCTTAAAGGCTAAATTAAAAGGCTGTTGTCTGCAGAAGCAAGGTTCTGCAATTCCATTTAATTAGCCTCATCATCATAGCTTAAGTATAAAATACTCAGTTTTTATTTTATACGCCCTATCCTGTTCTACATCTGCAATTCACAGAATTCTGAACTTCTTATAAATATGCTAAAATTATCAATGTTAAATATACAATGTCTAAACAATAAGCAGTTTCCATACATTTTTCCATCTGTTATTTTACAACCCAGTGTTCCTGATTCATTCTCCTACAGAAGACTATAGTCATTGCCTAAAAATTGGCAGTGTCATGGCCTTTGCATAGTAACAGTACAAATGTCATACACTGCCAGGAAAATAGGCATAATTTGTTCTTTTGCACTTAATTCCAATAACTGACAGTCATGCACAAATGGTAGGGCATGTATATTTTGGCATCTGATATTTGACTAATTTCTTATTCATTTATTTTATAACCTGCTTTTTCTTTATGAATTGAAGGCTGTGTACATAGTATACACAGTACATAGTATACATTTTTGCCTGCATCAACAGCCCTATAAAGTTGGTTGGGTTTAGAGATACTGGCTCAAAATTATGCATTGAGTTTGTATGCCTGAGGTGGGATTTTCCCCAGTTCTAACCCAATATTTGACCATTATATCACTATTAGTTTTGTCTTGCCATCCAACTCTGTAGCTTTTCATATTTTAGTCACTGATAATCCCACATACATCCCACAATAACTTAAAGGTCAAAGTGAATATTAATAACTATTATGATTTCTAGCATTTAGTAGTGTTAAGACTGAGACAACAAATAACCTTTCAGTGTTTAAAATTTTCATTAACAAATCGATCAAATGTATACGGAAATGAAAGATCTTAATGACCAAGAGAAATTAGAACAGATTTTACAAATAAAATATTTTGCCAACTTAGTGTTGGCAGAGGGCCCAGCCATCAAAAACTTCAAACCCAAATCATAAGGAACCCTGGGGAGTCCTTTGTAACTTTGAATCTAAACAATCAGTCAAAGCAAGGACCAAATGTACATGTTTGCCAATTAGCACACTTTCTGAAATTATACACTGATGTTCAATTGGACAGATTTTTGGAAAAATATGGTCTCCTCCCAATATTATTTGATACCAGACTGTTAAACTGTAATATTATGTAAGAATATATCCAACTGAGCTTCTTAGGCCTTATTTCTGATGAGACAGCAACAATAGATTTGTATCACATGTGACATAATTCATTTGAAATCTATCAGCTATATATTTTCTGAGAGTTTAGTCAAAGTATAAAATCAATTATTGGATGCTTTCTAGCATAGTTGTCTTAAGTGCTCAAAATGATTTTTGTTAAGCTTGTAGGACAGCTGTTGAGTAGTTGCAGGTAGTCCTCAACTGATTACCACAATCGAGCCCAACATTTCTGTTGCTATGCGAGACAGTTGTTAAGTCAGTTTTGCCCCATTTTACAACCTTTCTTGCCACAGCTGTTAAGCGAGGAACACAGTTGTTAAGTGAGTCTGGCTTCCTCATTGATTTTGCTTCTCAGAATATTGCAAAAATATATGACGGCAACCGTCATAAATACATGCCAGTTGCCAAGCATCTAAATTTTGATAATGTGACCATGGGGAAGCTACGATGGTCATAAGTGTGAAAAATGGTCATAAATCACTTTTTTCACTGCTGTGGTAAATTTGAACGGTCACTAAACAAATGGTTGTAACTTGAGGGCTACCTGTATTAGGTAGCTAGGAAGGCTGTTTCCTGGCTATCAGGATTAGAGGAGTTTCCCATTACATTTTTGGCCCACTTATGGAGGCGGCTATAGAGAGGGTAGCCACTATTCTCTCGATAGATGTAGACTCCAGTGATGGCATCCCATTGTGACCGGGGCTGAACATTGTGCACATTATATGCTTGGACCAGTTCCTGGTCCTCTTTATCTAAGTGTACAAAGCCAAAGAAGTTTTTGACGTTGTTGGCAGCCACAATCTTGGAATGTACTTCCGCAGTCCGTTGGAACAGCCTAGCTTCACTAGAGCGGTATTGGTTCCAGTAGGCTTCTTGGCGGTAGCTGAGTGGTGAGCAGCAATGCTTTAGGCACTTGGTGATGAAGACAAGAACTGCAACCCCACCAATGAGCATCCATCCAAAGAGCTGAAGGGAAAGAGAAAATATGAATAGAACATGGCTTGAATTGGTTTGATTTTTAACAAGTACGCTTTTTTAAAAGCCTACTTTTATTTTATTTCTTTGAAGTAAAAATTGGACCCCAAAGTATAATTGAAACTCTAATCAAGTTCAGTTACATTTGTAAGTGGATAATGGTGAAAGCAATAATTATAGTGTACCTTCATTTTTTCTGGTTAATAACTGCAAGGTTTGTGTTTAACTGCTAGTTGAGGATTTTTATGGATTAAATATCTGAAAATAATCACTTTTGTTTGAGTGGACTTCCATGCAATCAACAAATTCCACTGTTTCCCGAGCACTCTCGTACTTGCTCTGGAGGCTACTAAAATTTAGGAGATATTCTTACAAACTAAATTAAAAACTTTTGGTAAAATAAAAACGGTTCAGATAGATAACCATTTGTCTTGCAATGAAGAATAGCATCTACCAAATTATGCTGTTTAAGCAGGCTTTTACAGGGGATATGCTATGGAAGATTTTTATTGTTATTCTTTGGTTTTTACTGTGGACTGAGCCAACATTCAGTTTTTGTTACTTTTTTCATTTTGATTACTTGTTTGTAGCATGTCATGTTCTTAATCTGAATTAATGAGTATTGGAGTTCATGTTTGGATTTTGTTTTATGATTATAGTATAGTATAGTCATATGTCAGCTCTCAACTGCTTCAAAACATGTCAAATTTGGTATTCAATGTATTTTGAAGCAGAAATCTTGTCCTACCATTCGTCTTTCACCCAGTGAAAGAACTTGCTGATCATCTGCCTCATGACTTGCTATTTCTTCTGGGCGAAATAACAGGTTATGTAGTAAGTCACGTGGTCTTCTCACTACTCCATTTTAGTATTCAATGTGTCTTCCAGAATGAATTATTGACGAGGACTGAGGTACCACTGTATATTATATGTACATTATATATACATACATACGTACATACATACATACATACATACATACATACATACATATATATGTATATATATATTAATATGGTGTTTTTCCCAAAATATGACCTACCCTGAAAACACCCGTAGCCCGATTTTCATGCCTGCATGTAAGATAAACCCTACCCCAAAAATAAGAATGCCACCATCGCGCCTGGTGTCACCACTCTCAGCAGAATGTTGCAAGGCTCCTTGCGCCAATGTCGTCACTTGCGTGCGCAATGGCACAATGCACCACACAGCCTCCTGCAAGCGGCAGCACTGGTGCAATGAACCCCGTGCATCCTACCGTGAGTAGCGGCAATGGCATGCTGAGCCACGTGGTATCTGGCTGCAAGCAGTTGCAGAAGAGGTTTGGCAGCAGTGCAACAGTTGTTGGTTCGTGGGAGGTGTGGCTGCAGTAGTCCTAAGGTTAGCAGGTAAGACTCCCCCCGAAAATAAGATTGAGTGCTTATTTTGGGGCCGAAAAAAAATAAGACTGGGTCTTATTTTCAGGAAAACATGGTATTTTTTATGAATAAATAAATTACCTGTGACTCGTATCTTAATCGTCTTGTAACTTCATCCTTAAAACGTGTCATGTTGGCTGGCTGATCTTCACAAGGAAACCTGGCCAAGATATCTGGTCCATAGCCAAGTGGGAAATGATCCAGGGAAGTGGGATCCACAAATTCACTTAAGGCACAGACATAGGCTTCTCCACGAAGCAGTGAGATCACCGACCATGTGACAGGAGCCACTGCAGCTCTTCCCATGACAGATCCAAAGATCAAGAAATTAGCTGCTGCAGAAAAGTTCTTGGTTCCTCGCTTGTGACACTCAGCCACTAAGTTCCAAGTGTGGTTGTTCCAGATTACACCGATTACGAACAAGGCCAGAGCAGGCACTCCTATGGCAGCCAGACCGTAGATGTAATTCCGAATTGGGGAACATGGACAGTGAAATGCAACCACCGAGAACAGTTCCTGGCTTCCAACAGTGCCCAGAGCCACCAAGCCATTGAAAATCATCACATCTTTACTTTTAAAGAAGAGTGAAAGAAAGCGGAAATTTTCAGCAATAAGAGCAGCCATTTTAACAGGGTTCAGTTGGAGCTTTTAATATTTTAATGCAGATGAGATGTCTATAGATAATCTTGGTCTTCTCAACTCTTCATTTACTGTAAAAACAATTGTGGATTTAATAACTCCACAATGTCAAAGATCACTAGGCATCCACATATATTTCAACTATATATATTTTAATAAGTAAACTAAACTGCCTATGAACCTTGTATTATAAAATAATGCATCCAGTTTACAATTCATGAATGCAGGAAATATCTTTCAGCATAGTTTTCTCATGTGCTAATTATACTAAAAGCAGGTAAAATTTTAGGAAATAAATTTGTAAATATTAATTATAGAAGAATTTATGCAACTTCAGTGTACAATATGCACTCTATTTTAAATGGTTATACATTTTATTACATATAGCCCCACTAAAAGTATTTATTCTCCTTTCATGTACTGAGAATGTATAATAATAATAATAATAATAATAACAACAACAACAACAACAACAACAACAACAACTCCGCCGTT